CCACCACCACCACCACCACCACCACCACCACCACCACCACCACCATCACCACCACCATCACCACCACCATCACCACCACCATCACTACCACCAGCACCACTATCACCATCACCACCATCTCGCCACCGTTCCCACTGGCAGACCATCACTACCCCTAGTTATAACCACACCACTGTGTCCCTTCTCCCTGCCGTCACCTCCAGCTGCGGTGATGTACTTGGCTCACACAGTCCTCACGGAGACTGAGATGCTCTGGGACTCTTAGTCTCATTCTGCACATGTGAAAACCGAGACCCCGGGGACTGGAGAGATGCTCAGTGGTTAAGAACAGTTGCTGTTCTTGCAGAGGATCTGGGTTCAGTTCCTAGACTCCACACCAGGAAGCTCACAGCTGTCTGTAACTCCAGCTCCTGGGCACCCAGTGCCTCTTCTGGTCTCTGTGGACACCTGCACTCATGTACACTTATCCACCTAGATACACATATTTTTTTTTCGTAAAATAAACCTTAAAAATAGAGTTGTAAAAACTGAGACCCAGTGAATGAAATAACTCTGCAAGGGCCGATAGCCAGTACTAGACTCGGGGCCCCGAGACAGCTGTAAGTTCCATGATCTCTGCACTCTGGCATGGGTCCAGCCGCCCTGGGAAAGCACAGAGGGATACCACAATGTACTGTAAAGGTCTTAGCACATTTCTTGTCTCCCTTTTGAAATAAGGGAGGAGATCTTCACTTGAGGCCCACCAAGCTTATTAACCCACGTGTTATCGACTGTCTTCATAATCCATGCTGCTGGAAGATAAACTTTAGCACATTAGAGCGGTAGGGTTGATCTGAACAAGCTGCACCAGGCAATCCAGGGCAACATTAATGGGATTGAAGGGAGACATGGGACGACTCCTTGGTGCTCCTGACTGAGTGCACTTCCTCTTCTTGTTGTTTGCACAGAGCTGGGCTTTGGGTTACACATGCGTATTCCCTGGGCCGTGGAAAAGTCATGGCCTCGTGACTTAGCCATCGTTGGTTGAGCTGGCTCTGTAGTCCTGTCAACTAGAAGATGAAATGTCTTGTGGAAGGCAGTTAGCACGCCTCTGACTCAGACTCACAGCGCCCTTCACCACAGACTGGTACTGTGCCCTGAGCAGTGAGGGCTCTGCCAGTATGGGAGTGGCCTAGGGAGTTTACCTGGCCCCAGCGTGCTGCCGTTGACCATGCAGCCCTGTGCTCCATCTGCCCTGTTTCCTACACATGCCAGCCTGCCCCGCTGGGAGAACAGTGCTAGTCCATGCCATCTGCCTGACCCTTACCCGCTCTTCACAGCTGACCCACCAGACCACAAGCATCCTCCATCCCTTTTGCCCTCCTTGATCATCCTTGTTCTCTGTGCCTCGACCTTGCTTATGGCTTACTACTCCACTTCCAACTCCTGGCACCACCTGGGTGTCAGTCAGAGTCCCAGGCTTAGGGGGTCACTGAGTCCTTGATAACACTCTTGCCTTGCAGACTACAAACCCATTGGGTAGCAGGAAGATAGCACTTGGGGCAAGGTTTGGGAGAGATAGTCAGTGGTTCATTCAACACATTGAGTTTCTTCTATAACTCTGAACCTAGTGACTGTTCCATTGTGGTAGCTTCTGGATGATGTCTGAGTAGACAAATGGCTGGATGAGTATGACCCAAAGTCCTTTGCTCTGTGACAAAACTACCCCCAAACTTAGCAACATCCAATAGCGAGCGTTTAGTATGCCCACTTTCTGGATGGGGAGCTCCAGGTCCCTTGGAGTTGCCTTCAGGGTGTCAGGCCCGGCTACATCATTGGAGACAGGAAGTTCATTCACCTAGTCCTGAGGGAAATGAGTCAGACACATGAGGTTCCTCTTACAGGAGGTCCCTAATGCCACCAGATCGATAGAGACCTCTAGGATGCTGTTGCTGGGGGCTGGGAAGTTATGTTTCAGTCTTGCAAGATTGAAGGTTCTGGAACTGAATGGTGGTATGTACAAATGTGCTGAAGCCCAGGAACTGTCCATCTGGAGACTCTTGGTGAATTGAATTCAGTGTGTTCCATTAAGAGTTAAGATCAAAACCCTGCTCTGCTGCCCTCCTGACCTGCTCAGCCTCAGAACTGACATGGTACCCAGAGAGCCAGGGTGAGTGTGGTGGGAAAGGCCACCCTGGCCAGCCCAGCTCTGTGACCACTGTCTTTGCAGAAGGACATGGCTTTCTTTATGAGACATTTGGGATCCGGCCACAGTTCTCCTGGCACGTGGACCCCTTTGGTGCATCAGCGACGACCCCAACCCTGTTTGCCCTGGCAGGCTTCAACGCCCATCTCATCTCCCGGATTGATTACAACCTCAAGGATGCCATGCAGGAAGCCCAGGTGTGTCCCATGCCGTACCTTCTGTCCCTCCTCCCACCTTCCTGCTCTTCACCGGGCAAAGACCTCCGGGCCTTTCCACCCTTTAGCTGGGCCTGGGCTAGCTCCTTCCTAGGGCTATCCATGGGGGTTGGAGCTGAGCTGCTTTCTGGAAATATGGATGAAGGCCTAGAGGGACAGGCAGAGAGCTCAGCTGGGGACATCACACACAAGCAGTTACAGTGGGTTGACTCGGGGCTAGGAAGGGCCGGGCCTGGTGTCAGCTGCATTCAGCCAGCACCCCCATCAATCCTGGACCTGCTTAGGAGGTGAGGTGTCAGTTGCACCTGAGTCTTGAGCAGAAGCCCTGTACCCTCAAACCTCTAGAGGCTGTAGGTGCTGGGTCAATGTACATGTGGAGTCATGGGGAAGGGCAGGCTGCTGTCCTAATGGCTGGGCTTGGGGTCTGCCCTAGCTTCTCTCCTTGGCATGCAGGTGGCCATTTTCTCCTCACATCCCCACTGTGGTGTGCTCTGTGTATGCCCCCACCCCATACTTTTCTTTAAACAGCCTTTCTTCTCCCTTTATCTCCTCTCCTTCCCCCTCTTTCCCCTCTTCCCCACTGCCTTCCCCTCCTCACCTCTCTTCCCTTTCCCCTCCCTATTCTTTCCCCTGGTCTGGTCTGTTCTGCTGGCGCTAGAAAACCACAGCTGGGACCACCTTGCAATGCTCAGCAAATGCTCTGCTACTGGGCTCCGCCCACCCCTTTCCATCCGGACACCAGTCCATCTGTGTTAAGATCCTTCTTCCTTTTAAGATCTATTTTATTTTTAATTACACGTGAGTGTACCTGTGTGGGGATTATGTGTAGAAAGGTCAGAGGGTCAAATGCCCTGGAACTGGAGTTACAGGCAGTTGTAGCTGACTGACATGGCTGCTGGGAATCAAATTCCAGTCCCTAAAAGAGCACCATCTGCTTGTAACCATAGAGTCATCTCTCCAGCCCCAGTTAGGAGCCTTCTGATGGCGTCGTGTTGACCTAGCCACTCCACGCAGAGTGCCATTGTGCTAACAGAGAGCGTATTTGTGCAGGGTGTGGGCAGAGTTACCCTGCCTTGCAGCGGGGAGAGCAAGGCTCCAGAGGGAAAAGGAGGGAAAGTGTCCCATGCAGGATTACCCAGGGAGCAGTGGGAGAGCTGGCCACTAAAGTTACACACAGGTAGCTGTGGGATGCAGGAACACTCGGTTGTCACCCACAAAGCACAGGCATTGAACCTGAGCTCACAGAAGTTGCTCATTTCAAGCGTGGGTGGCTCTAGAGTCCTGAGTGTAGCTTCCCCCCGTTTTTCACTCGGAAACCAGGTCATAGATGGGTCTGAGAGCTTGTCCAGCCTGTCTCATGCCACCTGCTGAGACTGGACTGCACAGTAGTGACCTCTCCGTGGCTGTGGGTATTCAAGCAGAACAGAGTGAGCTCCTCTGAGGCCTGCCTGGTGGAGCTGGCACTGAGGAGCAGGTGTTGGGGGGACACGTACAGCTCCAGCAGGCTGATCTCACAGCTACAGGTGGCCCTGGTAGTGCCTGCCTGAGAGAACCTTACAGAGGAGGTGACGGAAGGGAACCTTGTCCCCGGGCCTCTGAGACAGACTGAAAGTGTGGGCATTGCCATGGAGGTGCAAGGGGGTGGAGGGAAGAGAACCTGGGCACCAGTAAGCGTGACCCTTGCCCCTCTGCGGTTCTCCCTGGCTCGCAGGGTCTGCAGTTCGTGTGGCGTGGGTTCCCATCCCTGTTGGAGCAGCAGGAGATCTTCACTCACACCATGGACCACTATAGCTACTGCACCCCCTCACACATCTCCTTCTCTAACAGGTAGGTGCCCCTGTCTGCAGCTGCCCTGCCTGTCTGTGATGTCTGCTCCTGGGAACAACTGTGCAGGCCCTGAACCCTGTGGATCAGAAGCAGCTTTTTAGCAGTGTCCCCTCACAAGGTTTCCCAAGTCCAAGCCTCACAAACGTGAGGGTGCTGATAGGACCCCACTTTACTACTCTAAAGGCCAAGGGGGTTGACATCTCAGTAAGTAGAGATGGCTCCCAAAGTGCTATACCTAACATTGTCCCCTGGCTTCCACATGCGTGCACACACAGGTGTGTGCACATTTGCACACACACATATATAGGATGAAGGTTTTTTAAAAAAAATATTTATTTTTATGCATGAGTTTATGTGCAGCATGTGTGTGCAGTGCCCATGAAGGCCAGAAGATGGTGTTGGATCTCACCCCCCACCGCCTACCCCAGAACTGGAGTTAGCAGGCAGTTGTGAGCTTCCCAGTGTGGGTACTGAAAGCCAAACCTGGGTTCTCTGACAGAGCAGCTCTCGGCTGCTGAGCCCCCTCTCCTATCCCAAGGATGAGGTTTTGATATAACACTCCAGGGACATTGCACTTGGTCTTAGTGGGACCCTGCCTGCTCCAGGCCTCAGCCGTCCTCATCTGCAAGGTGAGAAAAATGAGCCAGCCGATATCCAGGAACCCCAGCACCAGGCCTCCTTTCTCACGGTTCCCTTCACAGTGCTGCAGCGCCTCTTCACCCTCCAGCTCTCCTTCCTGCTTCCTTGTGATTGTCCCTTGCCACAGTGACCAGCCGGCTCCCTGCCTCTGTCTATCTGGCCTGCAGAATGAGTTGAGTTCCAGGGAAAGGCACTGGGCCAGGGGTGATAAGAGACTTTTCAGATGTGGGGACATTATGGCTGGCCTGGCTTTGTGGGGTCAGCTGGAAAGTCAGTTGTTAGCCCAAGGTCCTCGCCCCTCTCAGGGATCAGCCACCATGTACAGGTGTCGGGAACAGAAAGGGGCAGGACCACAGCACAGAAATACCACGCTGTCTCATGGAATCAACTGTCAGGCGCCCTGGGCTGAGGAGGTCCCTGCCCTGACAACAGACAGCCTGGGCCCTGAAGTCTGGCAGGTCCAGGTTCAGACCCTTGTTCTGTCCTGTGCACCTGCAGGTCCTCGTGTGAGGTGCTCACCACCTGGGAGTGGAAAGTAAGCAGAGAGGAGACGGGAGCTTGCCATTCACCAGGCTGCTCTGCCAGGCACGATGCCTGGCTTTTATTGCCACAAATTGTTTCTGTTACTCCTCCCATTGCCTCATTGCTTACCAAGGAGAGACAGGGCTTGGCAAAGGTGGCCTGGCCCTGTGGGCAGGTGGCCCGGAATCTCATGACTGCCACCTAGTGCTGCATGGCATGAACAGAGGGGGCACTTCCTGAACTTCTCCAGAGCCTGGAGACCAGGAGAACCTGTTAGAGATAACCCTGTTGCTATAGAAACCTCTGATGTTTGCTCTCATCAGATTTCGGGGTTAGTCTTGAGAGGAGATTTTTTTTTATTGTTATTGTTTGATTGCTTGGGTGGTTCTGGTTTGGTGTGTGTGTGTTATGTGTGTTTCAGAATCATTATTTTCATTTTATGTGTCTGGGATGTTTTCCCTACATCTGTGTGTATGCACTAGTGCCTGCAGAGGACACTGGATCCCCGAAATTGGAGTCACAGGTGTTTGTGGGTCTCCATGTAGGTGCTGGGAACTGAACTCAGGTCCTCTGCAGGAGCTGGCTCGGGACTACGAATCCATGTTTTGTACTACTGAAAAGCCCCAGGTTTTTGTTTTCCTGATGCAGTTTCCCTCTGTAGCCCAGGCTAGCCTTGACCTTGTGTAAGCCTTTCTCTTCTGACCTGGTGAGCGCCAGGGTCACAGATATGAGCCATCACCTCAGCTTTAATTTTTATTTAACTGTATTACAATGTTTTTATCTTAACTCCTGATATTTGGGGCAGTTTTGTACCCAAGATGAATCTTTACCCTGGCCTCAGGCAAGCAAGGTGATGGCCTATAGGAGACAGGGCACAGGTGACCCTCGTCCAATCCCCATTCGTGGTGGGGAAGACAAGGCAGCTGGCTCCGTGTGGCCCTGAAGCGATATTCGCACGATCCTGCTGGCAAACCACACTCAGCTGAAGCCTCTGCATCAGTCTGCTGGGCGTCTATCCTCCCTCAGGTCTGGATTTTACTGGAATGGTGTAGCCGTCTTCCCGGAGCCGCCCCCAGATGGCATGTATCCCAACATGAGTGAGCCCGTCACCCCAGCCAACATCCACCTCTACGCTGAAGCCCTGGTGGCCAATGTTAAACAGAGGGCCGCGTGGTTCCGGACTCCCCATGTCCTCTGGCCCTGGGTATGGCATGCTCCACTTGGGTGTCCTTCATTGCAGCCTGGGTGTGGCCCTATGGCGGGAGCTGCCTGCTTGGAGGCAGACTCTAATCTAGCCTACCTCCACCTGGTTCTCAATGCTCCCTCCTTCCCTGCAGACCCCTTGGCCACACCCACCATTCCACCTTGCCCTGCCACCCCTCCAGGCTGATAGGTAACCTCCAGGCCATAGCAGCCTCTATTCCCACCACTCATATTGTTTGGGACCAAAGCCAGACTGACCTGCTCTGCTCTACCTGCCTCAGGTTGCTCCTCTGTGCTACGGGTTTACAGTGCTACCTGCCATGAGGCCCAGGAGAGGGGCATTCCTGGGGGACAGCCCCATACCACATCAGCATCACTAACCTTTATTAAGGCACATAGTATTTGTCTCATCCATCTAACTGGCACCTATAGACCCAAGAGGAAGGCATTTCTGAAATTCATTTTGCAACAGGGATCTGAGGCCCAGAGAGGTTATAGAATTGTCCTGAGGCTGCACAGCTACTTAGCAGAGTAAATAGAAAGGAATGGCATTCTCTATGGACCTGGTGGCCCACAGCCTGCCTTCCTAATCCATTGCTGCTTGTGGTCAGGATGCGTGAGTCAGGTCTACGCAATAATGATCACATTATCACAATTAGTCCTAGAGATGGTTACTCAGGGAAGGCCTGACCGCTCCAGGAGTGTTTCTGGTGTCCTTGTTGGCCAAGGAGGGTGAGTGGGCTGCGGGAACGGCAGTGATAAGGCTTCTTGCCTGGGCAAGGCCTCCGAAGGCTCTTAGAGATTCAGGCCATTGCTCTGTGTGCTGCAGGGATGTGACAAGCAGTTTTTCAATGCCTCGGTGCAGTTTGACAACATGGACCCCCTGCTGGAGTACATCAACAATCGCACGGCCCAGTACGGCGTCTCAGTGCGGTACGCCACACTGAGAGATTACTTCCAAGCCCTGCACGCCTTCAACATGACCTGGGCCACCCATGACCACCGTGACTTCCTTCCCTATTCTTCAGGTATGAGCCTCAGGAGGCTGAGGGGCAACTTGGTATCCAGAGTAGAGCTCTTCCTTCTAGCTCAGCGTGGGCTTGGGGGCAGAGGGGTGCCAGGCTGATTCCCTCCTGTTCTTCCCACCTCAACACCTGTCCAGTCACAGAGCCCACTCCTGGGAGTGCCCTTCTGCCCACTCTTCTACATGCTCCTCCCCTGGGCAGCTCCTGCTCGCACTGAGGCAGGCAGTCCAGTGCCACCTCTGGGTCTCAGCAACCACACTTTCTTCTTGCTCTATTCTGTCATTGCAAGGGATGCCATCTGTTTCCTACCTGTGTCCTCAGGCCTGGCCTGAGCAGGCTTCAGCACTCAGCCTCTGGTCCAGGCTGGAGGAAGTCTGGGACCCATCTAGCCTCACAGGAGAGACACTGATGGTGCCATTGTGTCCATGTGACCATCGAGAGCAGTGGCCATGACCCATCCCACCCCTGCTTTTGATGCTCCATGATATAGTGAAGGCACCCAGCTTCAAACCACCAGGCCAGTGCGCCCCTCCTGCTGGCAGCTACCGCAAACAGGCCCATCTCCTCTGTCTAGCTTCCAGCAGAGCGAGCATGTAGAAAGTACCTCGCCTACCCCATGGCCAGAGCCCTGCCTCAGAATAATCACAGAGATCACAGAGTAATGTTTTTTGTGTCTGTTGTGGGGCTGGGGTACAACTCAGTGGTAGAGCACTTGTCTAGCATGTAGAAGGTGTAAGCGCCATCCCTAATGCCAAAAACAAAATGCAAATCTCTTTGCTGCGTATGTCACTGCCTATGAGGGGCCCTATGGCCCTGCTATGCCTTTGCCCAGATGGAGAAGCCCACGCAACATGAGTAGGATGCTGACTGGCACACTTGAGCAGGACCACTCAGGAACCAGAGCAGTCATGGGAGCTTTGCCCAGCACACGCACACAAGCACCAGCTGATTGTTTCAGGGCCTGCGGAGGAAACAAGCTTGGATGGCATCTGCTGGCTGACCTTTTAGTACACATGATGAGGGCGCCTGAAGCAGGGCCTGCCCCTCCCCTGCCCATGCCATAGTGATACCTGTGAGCCCAACTCCCACTGGTTTCTTCAGTGAAGGAATAGGAGAGGAGACCTTTGTGAAGGTTCCTTCCCTTCTCCCTATTCCCTCCCTTCCAAATACACTGCACACACAGGCCTGGGTTGCCCTGCCCCCTTGGCTTTGCTGCTATAATTCTCAGGCCCCTTATTTCATGCAGTTTGCAGACATGGAGGGGATGGGGGCAGGAATGTGGGCACGGCCACAACAAAAGCAGGATGGTATGTGGTTTGTGAGACTAATTAGAGTCCAGGTGGGAGAGGTCTCACGTGGGCATCATTAGGGTCGTGGGAGTGGATATGTCATGTGTGCCTGGCTGAGTGGAGGTGGCCTGGTACAATACAGAAGTCAGTGTGTGGGTGGTGCCAGGCTTACAGCTTGGGCAACAGAGTTGCTGTGAATCCCTAACCTTCTGCCCACTCTCTTTGCTGGTGCTATTTGACTACCCACCTGTGGTCTTTCCTTGGGGCCCTGTGACCACTCAGCTGGAGTCTGGTCCTGGTTCTGGGAAAGACTAGGAAATAGAGGAAGCTAGACCTGGAAGAGGCAAGAAAACAAAAGTCACAAGAGTCTGCCTGAGACCTACCTTCTAAAAGGTGGCTGCCTCTGCTCTGGTTGCAGCGCCTACCTTGTCCCCAGTCTGCCCAGCCTAGCCTGATGTTCCCATCAAGCCTCAGGTCCTGCCTAGAAACCCTAGGTCCTGGTCTCTCTGGGTGAGCACAGATCTTGGTGCATGCTTCCCTAGGTGACCAGGCAGCCCTAGCACCCTTCGCTGTTCCCAGGTCCACACTCAGCACCGTGGGCTAGATGCTCAGCCTCACTGCATGTACTTACCTCCCAGAACCACAGCAGGCCTGGACCGGCTTCTACACATCCCGCAGCACCCTGAAGGGGTTAGCAAGGCAAGCCAGTAGCATGCTGTATGCCGGGGAGTCCATGTTCACACGCTACATGTGGCCAGAGCCCCATGGGACTGTGGACCCTATGTGGGCCCTGCAGCAGCTCCAACAGCTTCGCTGGGCTGTATCTGAGGTAAAGTCCCTGGAAGGCCTCAGCGAGACTGGATCCTCTCAGGTGTGGTATGTGTCTCCCCATGACTAGCAGCTCCACTGTACGGAGAGAAAACTGCAGTCTCCTCTGGTCTCAAGGCTGGTACAGTGTGCAACTGGGCCACAGCCGGACCCAGGGTCTCAAGGCACTGAGGGAGTGGCTTTCTTAAGCTTCAGTGCTGACTTTACGAAGAATGGAGAGTGGAATAGCATTGGTATCCTGCACAGATCCAAATCTCAGCCCAGCCTATGGCCTCAGGCTCAGGACTCTCCCTCCCTGGGCCCCAGTTCTTATCTCTACACTCACCCCACAGGATGGCGTGGCGATGGAATGACATGGCGGCCATCTCTGCCTGCCTCCCTCCCCTGTACTCATGGGGAAGTGGAGACACAAGAAGTCTTGTCATTTATCATCCCTACAGAGTCAGGCAGGCCATTTTTTTTTCACCGTTGGCTGTACAGTTTATTTAAACCAAACATGATAACACAGAGAGGAGACTGAGGTGGCAGATGCCCAGACTTTGTGGGGTTACAGATGCCAAACAGCTGTATGAGTCTTCGGACCCACAAATCAGGCAGGCCATTTTACAGACGCCTGGAGGCAAATCTCCAGGAGATGTGCTGGGAAGAAGCAGGTCGGCCTTCCTGGGTGTCAGATCAGTGGAATGTGTGGTTTCTGACGGGGAATCGCAGTCTCTTGCTCGGCAAAAGGGGAGGGTCCGTTCTCCCTGGTGCAGTGGGAGCATCACACCCTACAGTGCACACGTGGGAAAATAATAATGGACAGAGGGGAAGCTGGGGCTCTGCCAGGAGCACTCAGGCAGGGTATTTCCATGAGGTCAGGGAAAGCTGGGCCAGTTCTTTAGCCTCTTGTCTCAGTTTCCTGTCTATAGGATGGGAGGGATGCTTGCCTGCTCCCATGGTATTCTGGAGAGCAGGTACCTCCCAAGACCAAGTTTGACAGCTTCTTTCTTGACTCTGATGGCAACAGGTTCAGCACCACGACGCCATCACAGGCACTGAGTCCCCCAAGGTGAGCAACATGTACATGGAACATCTCAGAATGGGGATTCTGGGCGTACGCAAGCTTATGGCCTCCATTGCCCTGGACAGGCCCCCAGTGTCTGACACAGGTAAGCCAGGCCCCTGCAGGGATGCAGTGGCTTTGTCTTGAAAAGAATCTGAGGCCAGGAGTAGTAGCACATACATACCTATAATCCCAGCACTAGGGAGGCAGAGACAGGTGGCTCTCTGTAAGTTCGAAGGTTTAGCCTGGTCTTCATACCAAGTTCCAGGATATCCAGAACTGTATAATAGAGAGGCCCTGGGGCAGGGGTGGATACCAGACCCTCACATGAGCCTAAGGCCCTGTAATCCCAGTACCATGGAGTGATCCTGCCAGCTGGTTCAGCGCTTTGGACCTCTTTCCTCATCCTGGAATCCAGGATGAACTGCTGGCTCAGCTGGACTGAGCAAGGACTACTAATGAGTTCTGAGAGCTTTCTGAGTCTAGAATGTTCCCCGTGGGCATTTAATGCCACTAGCTAGGATGAGGAAGAGCCACAGTTCGAACCCGCCACACTGTGCTCTGCCTACATTCTCTGGCCCAGCCCTGCCTGGTCCCTGCTCTCCCTCTCCAGCCCAGGCAACCGTGGCCCAGCCCCTTTGTCCATCAAGTGTCACATGTGTAGAGTGACCCGTCATACAACATCATGAGCACTTTGCCCTGCCCTTCCATCTCTCTGTGTGTGACCCAATCCGGCCTGTAGGTTCTGCCCAGGGCTAGCACAGGAGACACAAGTCTGATAGGAGCGACAGTTGGAGAAAGAGAAGAACCTGGGTTGTGGCATCAGTGCTAGGTGGGGAGCTAAGGTGGGCATGAGCACATAGGTAGGCTTCCCCGAGCAGGGAGTAGGTCGAAAAGAACCAGAGTGGATAGGTAGAGGGGGCAGCAAGGCCCAGGAGGGAGTTTGGAGACTGAGCAGTGTGTTTAAGAATCACCACCTAAGAGATGGGACAGAAAGGGAGGCAGACCCACATCACAACAGCCTCCTGTGCTGACTGGGGCACTCAGAGCCTTGGAGTCGTGCCTAACCCTCCAGGGGCTCTGGAAGGCCAGGTCTTGCCTACCTCACTTTCCCTCTTACCCGGGAGTTCCCGAAAGCATCAGGGGCTCTCAAGTGACATCTGTTCTCTCTGTAGACAAAGGGCCTGTGGGATACTTTGCTTCTGTGTACAACCCACTGGCCTGGAAGATCACCACCATTGTCACCCTGACTGTTGCTTTCCCCAATGTAAGCGTCACCGATGAGTTGGGCCACCCAGTGTCAGCACAGGTATGGGAGAGAAGTTCTGCTGGAGGGAGTTTGCTGTCTGCCACTTGGTAACCTTGTGCATTCTGCCTGTGCAAAGGCTCTGGGCATCTTAAAGAGGCACTTAAAAGATTAATTTGTTTATCTTATAATATATATATATATATATATATATATATATATATATATGTTGTTCTGTCTGCAAGAATGCCTGCAGGCCAGAAGAGGGCGCCAAATCTTATTACAGATGGTTGTGAGCCACCATGTAGTTTCTGGGAATTGAACTCAGGACCTCTGGAAGAGCAGCCAGTGCTCTTAACTACTGAGCCATCTCTCCAGCCCTGAAAAAGGAACTTTAGCAGAGATGCCAATGTTGGGGTGGGACCTAGGCTGCGTTCCTGAGACATTCAGTATGGGTCACATAGTCTGCTTTCCACCCTTCCCTCTGCCAGGACGCGGAAGGGCAAGACGTGCGGAGGAGAAGTGAGTGGAAGGAAGGGCCCCAGAGGGTTGTCAGGCCTGGGGGTTGTCTCAGAGAGCAAAACCAAAGCTGGTGAAGATGTCATGGGAATCTTTCCAGGAGGTGGAAGGACACCACTGCATGGGCGGATGGTGACCTCCCGTTCCGGGAGTGTGAGGCGGGGCTTACGGGGTGACTGAGAAGACTTCCTTTCCATGCTGCTGGCTTGCAGATTCAGAACTCTACAAAGGACCCTTCGGCCTATGACCTGCTTATCCTGGCCACCATCCCAGGCCTCAGCTACCGGCACTACAAAGTCAGGCGCACCCGTGGGGACCAGGCAGATACCCACGCCGCCCCCATGGCCAGCACCCTCAAGTATAGTCTCAAGCTGAGGAACCAGACTAGCCAGGGAGGCAGGTTCCTGGTGCCTGTGACCAACGACTGCTATACTTTGCTGTTCGACCAGGAAACCAACATGTTACATAGTATTCAGGAGAGGTAAGTTGAGGCCAGCACTGCCTCTGAAGTGTGCTCACCTTCCTGAGGGAAGGACTAGGTGAGAGCATAGCAAGACCACTTCCTGCTCTTGTGTTCCTTAAGAGGAGAACCTGGACCACTGCACAAAGGCCACGCCAACCATCTCATTCCAGAGTCCTGACCCATAGACAAAGGGGGCCTAGGGGACCCCATGAGTGGTGCTCATGGGGTCCACCTCTCAACTACAGAAACTAAGTTGCTGTTCCCGAAATAGTTTTGCTGTTTAAGCACAAAGGGCCACACAAAGGGCCTTTAAACCCTTTACTCCCACTCACTGCCCCTCATTTGTCCATCTGTCCGCTGAGCCAGCCAGCCACTAACCATGCATCTGTGTATACATACTAATAACTAGGATTCTGCCCACCCATGTTTGTTCACCCATTCATCCACACCTCTGGGGATCAGGGGACTTTAAGGCATGAAGTATCTCTGGCCTGTGACACAGGGATGGCTCGGGTCGGCAATGACAAAACTCCACTCTTGGCGCTAGTATGGCTCCTGGACCAATAGCAGACTGAATAGCAGTCTGGGAATAGTGCTCCCTGATGGCAGCCTGCATGTCACCTCCCTCTTGTGACTTCACCTGATAGTCCTTGGCTATGCGTGGGACCAGAGATTTTCCCTGAAGCATCTGGTAACTTCTTCGGGCTCTTCCAGGGCATTTTCTTCACTTCTGATCCCTGGCCACAGCCCTGCTGCAGAGGAATGATCTTGTTGATAATAACACCAACTGTTCTCCCCTCACCCCTGCAGACAGAGCAACCACACAGTGCTCATGACGCAAGAGTTCCTGGAGTACCATGCCAACGGAGATGTGAAGCAGGGCCCCATTTCAGACAATTACCTGTTTGCGCCAAATGATACCGCTAAGCCTGCCTGGGAAGCAGTGGGGATGGAGATGGTGGTGGGCCAGCTGGCAACGGACATAAGGCAGTACTTCTACAGGTGCTTCCCCTGGGAGGGCCCACAGCCCCTGCAAGGTTCAGGAGTGGGTGGGTCACTGTGCCTAGGGGACAGCTGATGTCTGCCTGTCCGTGCACTTGGCCATGACTCTGGCCCATGGCTAATCAGTGATAACTGGATGAGAGATCTGCTCTCTTCTGCCTGTGGTTCTCAGGTATGCTGAGAAGTCATTTTGTTGCTACCTGAGTCAAAGCGTGGGAGAGGGGCTTTTGTTACTCCACGAATGATCCAGGGCTTGCACAAATCTCCACAGGGTCCATAGTCCTCCCTCTGAGTTACTGTGTCCAGAACTGCCCATGTCCACCTGCATATAGCTGCCTCCTGGCACCTGGATTCCTGTATGAGGGAAGGAGCCTCAGCCAGGCCCCACAGCACTCTCTTCTGTGCCCCGTTCCTAGGAATATAACAGACCAGGATTACATCTATGCAATCCACTCTCGTCTGGCCCATGTGCATCCGAGCCCCTCTGGGGAACTGCTCTGCCAACGGATAGAGCAGCAGTACCACGTGGGTCCCCTGGAGCTGAACCGTGAGGCCATCCTGAGGACCAGCAGTGACCTAAACAGCCAGCAAATCCTCTACTCTGACAACAATGGCTACCAGATGCAGCAGAGGCCCTACAAGGCTTTCAAGAGCAACCCTATCGCCCGGGTATGCATGCAGCAGCTCCGTGCTGTGCCCCAGTGTGTTTTTCCTGGCCCTGTTACGCACCTATTCATAGCAATAGAGGCTTCTTGGGAAAGCTGTTTCAAAGGCCCTGGCCAGCATCCTGCCCTGTGGGCTCTGCACCTTGACAATGCCGGTTCTGAGACCTGTCTGTTTCCTTGTTTCCTCTTGGCTTTGTCAGGGGTCATTCTTGATGCCCTGTGTGTTGAGCAGGGGCCTAGAGTCCCATCAGTCAGCCTACAAGGCTAGAAAGCAGCAGACTGGATGCTGTGCCACTGTGTCTAGGGAACAGTTGGTGTCTGCCTGACCCTGTACTGAAGCTGCCACTGGGTGGCACTTGCGTCTGCAGAATTACTACCCCATGGTACAGTCAGCCTTCATCGAAGATGACAAGAGCAGGCTGGTGCTGCTGGCAGAGCGAGCACATGGTGTCTCCAGTCAAGAGAGTGGTCAGGTGGAGGTAAGAGAGGCCTGGTTGCCCTCCCATGGGCCCAACAGCGTGGCCAGGGGCACGGAAGGACCTCAGATGATTTCTGCAGGTAATGCTCCATCGGCGGCTTTGGAACAACCTGGCCTGGGACCTGAACTACAACCTCACGCTAAATGACACCTCCGTTGTGCACTCAGAGCTCTGGCTTCTGCTGGGGTCGAAACCCATCGCTACTGCCCTGCGCCCACGGAGTGGGGTGGCGCTGCAGCACAGGCCTGCCGTGCTGTTCAGAGAGCTAACTGATGAAGAGGCCCTCATTCACGGTGAGCATCACTGCTACCTAGGATGCACCACCTGGGTGGTGGCCTCTAAGGTTGCTGGGCAGCATCGCAAGGGCCCTCAGAGTCTGAGTGTTGACAGTGGCTCCCTTAAGCTCACTCTGCTAGTCCGTGCAGAGCTGAGACTCACACCTGTTCCACTCTCTCTCCTCCCTCAGTCTCCTGCAGCTCCTTCCCTGCTGTCTTTTTCTTCCTTAGCATCACGCCCTTTAAAGACCCACCGAATCAGGGTGGGATGTCAGTTATTTTTTCTGCTGTGTGGTACTCCATTGTGTAAATGTACCACATTTTCCTTATCCAGTCTTCGGTCGAGGGGCATTTAGGTGGTTTCCAGGTTCTGGCTAGGACAAACAATGCTGCTATGAACATAGTTGATCACATGTCCTTGTGGCACGATTGAGCATCCTTTGGATATATACCCAAAAGTGGTATTACTGGGTCTTGAGGAAGGCTGTTTCCTAATTTTTCTGAGAAATCGCCACACTGACATCCAAAGGGGCTGTACCAGCTTGCATTCCCACCAGCAATGCAGAAGTGTTTCCTTTTCCCCACAACCTCTCCAGCATAAGTTGCCATCAGTGTTTTTGATCTTGGCCATTCTCACAGGTGTAAGATGGAATCTGAGTAGTTTTGATTTGCATTTCTCTGATGACTAAGGATGTTGAACATTTTAGATTCTGTTGAGAGTTCTCTGTTTAGGTCTGTACTCCATTTTGTTTTTATTGGATTATGTGATCTTTTGATGACCAATATCTTGAGTTCTTTGTATATTTGGGAGATCAGACCTCTGTCTGATGTGGGGTTAGTGAAGATCTTTTACCATTCTGTAGGCTGCTGTTTTGTCTTGCTGACTGTGTCCTTTGCTTTACAGAAGCTTTTCAGTTTCAGGAGGTCCCATTTATTAATTGTTTCTCTCAGTGTCTGTGCTGCTGGGGTTATATTTAGGAAGTGGTCTCTTGTGCCAATGCGTTCAAGTGTACTTCCCACTTTCTCTTCTATAAGGTTCAGTGTGGCTGGCTTTAAGTTGAGGTCTTTGATCCACTTGGACTTGAGTTTTGTGCATGGTGATAGATATGGGTCTGTTTTCATTCTTCTGCATGTTGACATCCAGTTGTGCTGGTGCTGCATTTTTAAAGGGCTCTGCAGCACAGCTTCTGCAGGCTCGAGGGCCTGGAGAGAAGGTGGCTCTGTGTGCTTCCTGCCTGCTCGCAGAAGTTTGCGTGAGAATGCTTGGTCTTTCAGGAAGAATCCTTCCCAGGCATCAGGAAGAAGGCAAGCGGCTGACACTCATGCAAGAAATGCCTCCTCTGTGTAGTGTGTAAGGTGCAGTGTCTGTCCTGTGGGAGTTCTTGGGCTGACTGAGAATGGTTGTGGAGCACTTATTCAGAGAATATTTGTTTGGAGCATGCTACCAAGCGCCTGAAACCTTATGTTTGAGAGAGCATGAGTCAGTCTCTCTCTCTCTCTCTCTCTCTCTCTCTCTCTCTCTCTCTCTCTCTCTCTCTCTCTCTCTCAAAATCCCTGAGGGCCACAGGAGAATTTACTGCAGAGCTGTACTTGAGCTCATGACCTGGAACCCCACAGGCCATCTCTCCTCTCACCTGAGCTGTCTGCCTCCTCCTCCTCCTCCCCTTTCCCTTCTCCTCCCCCTTTTCTCTTCACCTTTCCTCCTCCTCCCTCTGGTACAGGGCTAGACAACTCCTTGGCTTCTCCCAGAGAACAGCTGTAAATCAGATGCCTGTTTCTGTCAAAGAATTCCTGAGAGCCGGGGGGTGGTGACGCACGCCTTTAATCCCAGCACTCGGGAGGCAGAGGCAGGTGGATCTCTGTGAGTTCGAGGCCAGCCTGGTCTACAAGAGCTAGTTCCAGGATCGGCACCAAAGCTACAGAGAAACCCTGTCTCGTAAAACCAAAAAAAAAAAAAAAAATTCCTGAGATAACCAAGTTAAGAGCAAGGAGGTTTTCTTTTAGCTCTCAGGTTCATGGGCTTCACTCTGTGGTCACTTGTCTCTGTTGCTTTTTGGCGGCACGGTACATCATGGTGGGGAATACAGGGCACAAACCTGTTCATCTCTGACAGCTGAAAAGCAAAGAGGGAGAGGAAGGGCCTGGAGTCCTAGTGACCTAACTTCCTCCCAGAAGCCTCACCTTCAAACATTCTACCACCCCAGTAGCCCACAGTCTGGGCACAAAGCTTTTAGCACGTGGGAAACAGAAGATCCAAACCTCACAGCATGCAAAAGGAGCTGAGACTTTGGCTTTCTAGACTGGACTGATCCTATTGGTTCCACCTGAGTCAGGTGACCCAGGCCTAGGCCAGTCCTTGTGTCTTGGAAATGATGAGAAGGGAGCTGCACCTGTTGAAAGTCAGCGTGGAAGGAGCAGGTCAGAGGGGGACCGGTAGGTGGCGAAGACAGGGGCAAGGGACCCTCTGGATTCAGAATAGAAAGCAGGCTTGTGTAGGCTTGTGTGTGGGCGTGAGTAAATGTGTCCCTCTCTGGGGCTTAGTCTCCTCTGGAGTCTGAAGTGACCAGATGGCAAGTTAACGTCCCTTCATGTCTTAAGCTGCGTAAACTCAGCAGCTGGATGTGGAGAGAGCAGCCTGGGGGCAGGACATACCTGGGGACGGGACAGGGTAGAACAGGGGGCTGAGACCGAATTGTCAGGATCATTGTGCTGTGGGTTGCATAAGGTCGGGTGGTACAGGACTGGAAGGGGCAGAGGCTTTCACGTGGAAAGCTGAGTGTCTAAGGGAGTTGGTTCCGAAGCCCCTCCTCACTGTCTGTCTGCCTTGCAGGACCCAAGAACCCCCAGGCTGTGGCATTACCCCCCAACCTGCACTTGCAGATCCTCAGCATTCCCGGCTGGAACTACAGCAGGAACCATGCCCAGCAACTGAAGAACCTTCGGAGAGGTGAGGCAGCCCACCAGGGTGACTCCTCCCCTAGTCTACCAGGTCCCAGTCCCCTCATCTGGCACCTGCAGAGGGGTGGAGTCAATCAGCTATCTGGGGCAGGGTGGTCCCATCCTCTGGCCCCCAGCCCAGGACCAGTCACAGCACTCTGCAAGATAGATGCCGTGCAGTCCCCGGACAGTGGTCCGCATGCTGCCCAGTCCTCAGGGCTGCTTCATGCTGGTATCTGTGTTAGTCAAAACCTTTTCATCTCGTGACAGAACACCTGAGACAGTTCACTCAGGCAGACAGAGCTGATTTAGCACACAGCCCTGGAGACTTCAGCCCCTCACAGCAGGCAACAGGTGTCAGAGCAGCAGCCCAGTGCATGTGGGAGAGAGAGACAGAGACAGAGAGATAGACACAGGGAGAGAGAGAGAGAGAGAGAGAGAGAGAGAGAGAGAGAGAGAGAGAGAGAGAGAGAGAGAGAGAGAGAGAGACAGAGAGAGCTCTACATTCTCCTCGTTTTTCCTTTCCTTTTGTATTCCACATGGGCCTCTATGGGAAGATGGCGGCATTCAGGGTAGGACTTCCCACCTAGGTTGATCCTCTTGCTCGGAGGACACGGAGAATGTGCTATGCCAATCTCCTAGGTGTCTCTTAATCCAGTCAAGCTGTCAATCAAGATCAACCATCATGCGCTTCTTCCAGACAGTCCTCCTGCAGCCCCTAAGTTTCCACTTACCCGCAGAACTGAGACAGCCTGACTGCCTATCAGGAGTTTCATTGATTCACTCAGAAGATACCCCTTCAGGGTGCCAGGTCCCCAGTGTCTGAGCTCCTTAGATGGTGGTGACAATGAGAAGGGAAGCAGGCATCAGGGGTAACACCCACTAGGAATCAACACATCTCTTGTGCTTACTTTGTTTGCACAAGCCTTGTGGTCACACTCCAGAGAGGGCAGTGAGGAACTAGAGGACTTGTGGACAGGCCCAAAGATGGCCACTATAGGAATGAGGACGCTCGCTTCAGCCCCTGAATATGCGAGAGGTCCAGGGTTGGCACAGCCCCATTTGGATCCTGCCTCTGCTGCCTGTGAGCCAGGTGACCATGGGCAAATGACCGCTGGTCCAAGTGGCAGCTGCTGTCCCTGCAGGGAGGCTGAGATGTGGAATGGAGTCTAGACTATAAAGTGCCAGATCAAGACTGTAGCTTTGAGCTTGCTTGATGGGGTCCTCACTGCCATGTCCATCCCCACAGGCCCCCAGAAGAAGCCCCAGGTCAACCTCCAGCGTGTGCTGCTTCGCCTGCACCACCTGTACGAAGCAGGGGAGGACCCAACGCTGTCTCAGCCTGCGGCAGTGGACCTCAAGGTATGGCTACCCCACCCCAGACCAGTCAGGCCTCTAAGAACACTACTGTACTCCTGGGGAAGCAACTCTGTCTGAAGTCCCATCCCGAGCTACAGCTTCGCCAGAGGACTACTGGGCATGTTCACAGATGAGGCTGGACTCCCATCAGGCCACGTCTGGTTCTTCCATGTTTAATTTTGTACCTTTTGAGGGGTAGGATATGTGGCTTACATGTGTGGCTCTGTGAATTAGGGAGCAGAGCTCAATGTCAGGGAACCATCCTTTCATTTCTCTACCTTATATTATTATTATCTTTTGAGAGAGGGTTCCTCCGTAGCTTTAGAGCCTGTCCTGAAACTCACTTTGTAGACCAGGCTGGCCTCGAACTCACAGAAACCCACCTGTCTCTACTTCCCAAGAACTAGAATTAAAGGCATGTGCCACCACCGTCTGGCTGCTCTATCTTATTTTTTAGACAGGGTCTCCCACTGGACCTGGAGCTCACTAGGTAGCTGAACTAACCATTGAGCTCTAGGGAACCTCTTGTCTCTCTGCCTTCATCCCCTTCACTGGGGTTACAGATAAAACAGGCACTTTGCCCCCCACCCAGCCACTTCCTCCGTCCATTGCAGAACCTTTCAAATAACATGGAAATCATTTGTGTCGTCAGAAAACCAACCAGTTCTCCCTGAACTTTCTAGCAAAGGAAACTTAGCGTCAGAGAATTGAAGGTCTGTGTTCATGTGCACACGCTGATCAAGCTCCTCCAATCTTCTGGGGCTCAGTTTCCCTACCTGCAAAGCTGGGAAGGTACCAGTTCTTGGCTCTGAAGAGCGCACAGAGGCTTGGGGGCAATGGTGTGGGCACAGTGCCTGCTGTCTCTGCAGGCTTCCAGGTACCTGCCCATCTAGGTGTCTGTCCCCACGTGGGCTTGTTCATCTGGCAGGTCTTCTAGGGAGGCACACACCACCAGTCTTAGTTTCCTTAAACTCTGAACAGGTTGGCAACCTGCCCTTCCAGAGGAAATGAGGCAGTTGTATGAGGCACCGAGTCACTGTTGATGGCCACCCCTCTGTTTGGGTTAAATGAGCTCCATGGATCTGGGACATCAACAGTCTCCACCCCTGCTTTTGATTCTACCCTACAGGTAGCCCTTCAAGGACTAGGGTCCGTAGTAGCTGTGGAGGAACGCTCACTCACAGGGACCTGGGACAAGCAGATGCTGCAGCGCTGGCACTGGAGGACAAAGACTGGCCACCTAAGAGGTTTGGGACCCCTGCCAGGCTGTAGAACCACACAGACCTGCTATGTGCTGGGTGGCCTTGTGTGGCTACTTTCCTTCTCTGAATCTTTAGCCTTTGCTACTTATCAGATTAGGTTAATAATAGCTTTGTCTCTGTCCCCTCCTGCCAGGCTCCACGCAGGGTGTGTGTATGTGTGTGAGTGTATGTGTGTGCATGTATGTGTGTGCATGTGTGTGTGCGTGTGTGTGTATATGTGCATGTGTGTGCGTGTATGTGTGTGCGTGTATGTGTGTGCATGTATGTGTGTGCGTGTATGTGTGTATATGTGCATTGTGTGTGTGTATGTGCATATGTGTGTGCGTGTGTGTCTGTCTGTCTGTCTGTGTGTCTAAGTAGGAGAGTCGAGGGTATTTCAGTCATACAGGGAGGGAACAGTCCCATAAAGAAGCTCCCTGCCAAAGCTGGAGCCCAAGCCCCAGCAGGACTTGACTAGAACAGTAAGGTAAGGGTAGATTTTTCAGATGGTCCCACTCAGCCCTTAGATGTTCAGTGCAGCCCCACAGGGAAAGCAGACTGGTGGGCAGTACACTGCCCTTCAGTGTAGCCCCAGGAAAAGCTAAATGGTAAAGCCTACTTTAACAGGAATCCTAGGAGGAGGGGTGAGCCAAAGGCATTGCCACAAGGGAGCCATAGCAGACTGTAGAAAGCCGCTGTGGTGCAAGGGGAGTCCAGGAGGAAGAGCCAAACAGACTCTTCCTTGTCCTCCCCAGGCCACCCCACCTCCCTACCCGAGTCACCAGGAGACGCCATCATCACTGTGTACCCCAAGGAAATCCGGACCTTCTTCATTTACTTCCAGCGGTAACCAACACAGTAGGCCCAGGACCATGGAACTGAAATCCTTGCCCTGCCCCAGATGAACCTCAGAGGGAAGAGAAAGCTGCTCACCCAACAGCTGTGTGGCAGAAAGCAGCCGCGTGGGGGCAGGGGTCTCTCATATTTTATTAATAAAATAGTAAGGTCTGGGCTCTTCCTTCCCATGTTCAAGTCAGCCCTTCCCTCCCTTCACATGAATGACTCCTCCCTCCCTCTCTCCCTCCTTCCCTTCCCCCTTCCTCTGCCTCTCCCTCCCTCCTTCCCTACCCCTCCCTCTCTCCCTCAGTTTTTGAAAAGAGCCTTTATTTTTGAAAAGTTAAGGTAAACGAATTGTAGAAACTGAAAGACAACAAGAGTAGGATCAGCCAACCACACAGCTCCCAGCAGATCTTCAGGCCCTGTATCCAAATGTGGCATGTCACAGTATGTGCCTGTCACTCTTCCCATACCTCTACTGATCCAAAACCCCATTATGTGGATATTTTGATGACCGAGAATACACTTCACTAACTCAAAGTATTTTATAGAAAAAAAAATCTGGCCTTGGAGCTTATGTGCAGCAAAAGTTCCAGATGTTGTACTGGAGAAGTGGGATTAGCCTCGTGCTCTTCTTAGACACAGGGTACAGGGAGTGATGTTATTCAGAGTGACCAGTATCATGTTCATACTGTTAGCAATGCCTCTGCAGGGGTACCCACCTGTAATCTTAGCACCGGAGACATTGACAGAGGACTGTGAGTCCCAGGCTGGCCTGAGCTACATAGTGAAAGTCTTGTCTTTAAAAAGAGGGGGTGGGGCTGGGGATGACAGTTGATAGAGTATTTGCGTAGTATCCACAGACCCTGAGTTTAATCCCCAGTACTGCAAAACCTAGGTGTGGCTGTGCACACTTGTAATCCTAGTACTTGGGAGATGGAGGCAGGGATCAAGAGCACAAGTCATCCTGAGCTACCTAGCAAGTTCCAGGCCAGCCTCCAGCCTGGAATTCATGAGACCCTTCCTCAAAACACACACACACACATGTTATTAGTACTAGTGAGAAGGTGTATTGCACCAAATTGCCTCAAGCATCTCTATAGTGCAGCCAAGAGTGGTTCTTGAGGCTGGATTTGAGTTGCTCAGCGAGGCTCATCCCTAGCACCATCCACCCCTCCAGAACAGTTGATCTAATTCCATCTTTCCTGGGTACTCTGTTCTACCTTCTGCCAACTACTGAACAAATCCTGACGTGCTGTTGCCGTTCCAGGCTCCATGGTCTTCTTTCCTCTTAAGCAAAAACAGATACTTAAATATCAGCTAGCCCCCAGCTCCCCCTCACATGTCACCTTGGAACCCCCATAAAGTCTGAGTGCTTCAAAGTAGAGCCAACTGCTACAGTGAACACAGGCACAGTATCCATGCATGGTTATGCTCTAGAAGGGTATACATGCAGAGTCCTGGCAGGGAACCCTGCCCACCCCTCCACTGCCTCACTTCTCCATTCCGCTCTCAGCAGAGGTCCCTCCTTCCTGAGGACTAGAAGGATGTCCAGGGATCGGGTATATTCATTCAGGTATTAGGGTCTGCTTACCCTTCAGTACACAGTTGGGCAGTTGGACACAGTGCTTTTGTGGCCAGCACTGTTCTCATGTTGCCCCTGTTGCCCAAGGGGCGAGCATTAACAACTCTGGTCTCAAGGAGCAACTATCTTGGGATCACAAAGTCACCAAGCTTGCTGTAGCCCCTGCTGCTCTGTTGTGCACCCTGATGCTAGGAAAGACAGGTTTCCTGCTGTGTGCACAGATGATAGCAAAGGCTGCAGACTGCAAGGGACTTCTAGACATGGGCTGGCGGCTAGAGTCCTTCCCTCTCTCTCCTGCCAGCCCAGGGACATGCTCACACCTGTGATGTTTATGGGATCTTATTATTTTCTTTTCTTCTTTTTTTTTTTTTGGTTTTTCTTTTTTGTCTTGTTTTGTTTTTCAAGACAGGGTTTTTCTGTAGCTTTTGGAGCCTATCCTGGAACTAGCTCTTTTTGTTTGTTTGTTTGTTTTTCAAGACAAGGTTTCTCTGTCACTTTTGGAGCCTGTCCTGGAACTAGCTCCTGTAGATCAGGTTGGCCTCGAACTCACAGAGATCCGCCTGCCTCCACCTCCCGAGTGCTGGGATTAAAAGTGTGTGCCACCACTAGTTGGCTATTTATGGGGTCTTAACTTATATCCACTGATGATTTTGCAAAGTGACCCTTGTGGAAATGAATAAAGTGCTCCCTAGCTGCACTGGTCATCATGGCAGTCTCTAGCATCTGGGAAGTGAGATTCTGTGAACTAAGACCTGACTGGCCCTTATATGTAGTATGTACAGGGAACAGTAAGGTACCAGTCAGTGACACAGGAACACAGCTCAGCCACTCCTGCTCTTGCCTCATTGAAGGCCCCAAGCCAGCATTCTACATACCCCTTCCCAAACCTGTGCAGATCACAGTGTGTGTGCCTCACGAAAGGGTTTAACCTTTCTCCCACCAAATACCATTTCACTAGAACTTCAACAAAGTAACATCTACAAAATGTGTTGTCTGCTTTAAAAAGACCTGGCACTTCGTGTCTCAAAAGACTGAGTGCTTCGAAAAGCACCCACCACCATCATCACGGAGTACAGCCGCCAGGAGAGTCCATGTAATACAAAAGAACCTCCACACCCAGTAGAGTGCTGTAACCCTCTCCTCTCAGGTCTTCTGCCACTATAGGAGACTCCAGGTGTGGTGATTTGAATAGGCATGACCCCCATAGACACATGTGTGTGAATTCTTGGCCCATAGGAAGTGGCACTATTAGGAGGTGTGGCCTTGTTGGAGTGTATGGCTGTGATGGAGGAAGTGTGTCACTGTGGGGGCAGACTGGTGTCTCATATGCTCAAGGTACGCCCAATGTGGTACACAATTCACATCTTGTTGCCTGCTAATCAAGATGTAGAACTCTCAACTCCTCCAGCATCATGTCTGCCTACATGTCCCCATGTCCCACCCCATTGATAATGGACTAAAACTCTAAGCTAGCCCCAATTAAATATTTTTTCCTTATAAGAGTTTGGTGGTCATGGTGTCTCTTCTCATAAGAGTTGGGGTGGTTATTGTGTCTCTTCTCATAAGAGTTGGGGTGGTCATGGTGTCTCTTCACAGCAATAGAAACCCTAACTAGGGGCTGGAGAGATGGCTCAGTGGTTAAGAGCACTGACTGCTCTTCCAGAGGACCCAGGTTCAATTCCCAGCAACCACATGGCAGTTCACCTTCTCACCAATGCACATAAAAGGTTAAACCATAAAAAATATTTTTTAAAAAAGAAGAATCTAAATAGACAAAAAATTAAAAAAAAAAGAAAGAAGAAGAAACCCTAAGACACCAGATGTCGTTCCATTTCACTTCCCAGGACAGGTGTGTATCTCTGAGATGGTAGACTTTAGTATGTGCCAGGTCTTAACTTCCCTCCCCAACACCAGAGAGAAAGAATAAAGAAGATAGCAGGAAGAAAAGAGGTCAGTTTCATAAAATATTCCTTCTAATGGAGGAGTAATTTCTTCTGATGGAGGAAGTCTACAAGGGGTGACCCTTGTGGCTAATAACATATTTCCAGGGCACTGTGTCACAACCTCACCCCTGTTCTGGCTTCCAATGAGGCCTTCACTTCCCATGTGCACGTTGACCACACACACACACACACACACACACACACACCTGCATTTCTGAGGCTCGCAGTCCTGGCTCCACGTCAGCGTTGAGATTACACATGTGCACCACCGTGCCTGGCTTCTCCCTTGTGAGTCTGAAGGATCTGTTCTGCTCAGTTTTTCTAGTAATAATTCTCTGGGTGTTTGAATTGCTACTTGGGTTCACTTGTTTGGTTCTGGTTCCAATATTTTGGTGTGAAGACTGCAGAGAGAAAAGGGGTAGAGCCTGTGAGTTTCCATCATGCTTAGAGGCAGACATCAGCTGTCTCAGTCAACAGGAACAACCATAACAAACTGCCACAGGCTAGGCATTTATTTCTTATGCTTCTAGAGGCTTTGAGTTCAAGACCAAGGTGTCAACAAATACCTGTTGGGAACTGGCCTCCTGCTTTGTGGATGGCTGCCTTCACAATATGTCTTCACATGGTACATATCAGAGGGCAGGACTGAGCTCTTGGGACGCTGGATGTCCAGGAACTTGCTCTGCAAACCAGGCTAGCCTCAAACTCAGAGATTGCCCACCTCGGTCTCCTGAGTGCTGGGACTAAAGGCATATGCCATCACTTCCCAGCTAAGGACATTAATCTTATCATGAGGGTCCCACACTCAAGACCAAATCTAGCCCTTAGTTCCTCTGAAGAGACGCATCTCCTACTAATGGTTAGGATGTCAATAGAATTTGAAAAGGGTCATGTGGTGGTTTGAAAGAAAATGGGCCCCAAAGGGAGTGGTGCTATTAGGAGATCTCGCTTTGCTGGAGGAAGAATCCACTGTGGGGGCAGGCTTTGAGGTCTCCTCCTATGCTAAAGCTATGCTGAGTGACACAGTTCGCTTCCTGATGCCTTTGGATCAAGATGTAGAACTCTAAGCTCCTTCTTCAGCACCATGTCTGTCTGCATGCTGCCATGTCCCACTATGATGATAAATGATAATGGACTTAACCTCTGAAATGTAAGCTAGCCACCCAATTAAATGTTTTCCTTCACAAGAGTTGCCATGGGCCAGGCGGTGGTGGCGCATGCCTTTAATCCCAGCACTCGGAAGGCAGGAGCAGGTGGATCTCTGTGAGTTCGAGGCCAGCCTGGTCTACTGAGCGAGTGCCAGGACAGGCTCCAAAGCTACAGAGAAACCCTGTCTCGAAAAAAAAAAAAAAACATGCCATGGTCATGGTGTCTCTTCACAGCAATAGAAACCCTAACTAAGACAGGTCACATTTAGTACAAGGCACAAAATCCTTCCAGCCTTGACAATGAAGCATGTCATCCTTGGAGCACCGGCTCTCAGTGCCAGCAGCAGTGTGAGGACCACAGTCACAGCTCGCTCCCACGTGTCCAAGACCATGCTATCTCTGGAAGTCATTTAAGGCAGCTCTGTGTTCCAGGTTTCTAAGCACAGTGCATTCAGGATCACTCCTGAGGGCATCAAGAGGGGACAGAAATTGCCACCTC